TCGAGATGAGACATTTCTCTTTTTGATTTCGCAAAATTTCGGGTTGAAAAAATTCAAAGAAACGACTTGCAAATTTTTCCACAACACTCGTGAAACACCGGTTACAAAAGAAACGGAATAGCGTTAATTATAGAACGGCAGGTTCACAATGTGTTAAGTTCAACGTAGGTTTCGTGCATCGTACGATTTACTTTACGTTACGAGGCGCATTGTGCCCGAAACGTCAGGTATAACCTAGAAAAAGTGACGCATACACTTTATCGGTCAGTGAACGCGTGTGTTCTGTTTATCTTGTTCCCTGTGACACATATATCCTGCTACAATAATACCTACAGTGGACATTGCAGTTTAGGAGCGTGGCAACTTGAACGCCCCCGTAAGGATGAGCATTGAGAACGGCAAACAGAATTATCCTCTTTAAATATCCGCTAGACGGTCGTTACGGTTATTTAATATTCAATACGGTTGTTTAATACCCGATTGGTTTCTACGTTCGTTCTGTGACAGCCTTTTAGAAACATCGATTACAATTCACCCACCTTTCCTTCCCTCTCTCTCTCCGTTTTCTCCCTTTAACGTCCTTCTCGTTCACGCATTTTAACGAAACAATGAGAGGCGAACGTTTAAAGAAAATTAGCAGCCGTGATGGAAACTGTAGCTCTCTATAAAGGTTGCAATTATCAAACTGATGTATTTCAAATGAACCTTGAATTCTATTAATTCCAGAAAAATCCCCGACGAATGTTTAATGTATTACTGTTTTCCTACACCGTTCAGCGGAGGTTTCAATGAAAAAAAACCAGCATATTAATGTTGTTCTTCAATTATAATAATTCTTTGAGAAAAAGCACTCGGGAGGGATTGAATAAAACATTGTTTACCCATCGTACGCTCGCTATGAATACATTTGTCACACACTTTGCCAAGGGTTGCAATTACGAAACTCGTACATTTAAATTCTACTACCGGCAGTAGTTCTATATAGTTCTAGCAGCAGTTCTAATTCTATAACCGGCAAACAACAGGATTGAGAAAAGGCAGTTATTTAGTTGCACATTTCCTGAGGATTCGTTTGTTAGCGTTCGTTAAATAATAATTACAAATTCAAAAGCACACGTTCCGCGTCTCTTTTTAATCGCAATTAACCAGGTGAAATGGTGCTCGAGGAAAATCGAACAAAGAGAGAAGCTAAAAAGAACGCAAGTTTGCCGTAAAAATTGCACGCTCTTTAATTACACTTTCCTCGTTCGGTTGTGTATTCAAAACAAAAAAAAATGCAATCGTTGCACTCGTCGAAGAGAGAGAGAGAGAAAATTGTAAGCGAGGGAGGAAACGAAATCTCCAACGCCGAAATTGTTCTTTCAGCGGTAATAATTCGGAAGAGAAAAGGGAGAAGTCTCGAGGAGGATCGAGTAAAGAAATATTGTTTAGTTGTATACGTTTGGTAAGAATGCGTTTGTTGCACTCCACCCGTTAGAGCGTATACACACTTCCGGCCCGTTATCCAATCTTGCTTTACGCTCTCCCCGTATTACTTCATTTTCCGTGGAAAAGCGCGGCGCGGCGGTGCTCGTCTAACGTACCACGCTCAGAGAAACCCGTCATAAAACAAAAATTTCTCTCTTGCCGGTGCTATTCGCGAGTCCACGCGTAGGCGTTCCCGTGACCTGGAATTAAATAAAACATCGCTTTCCATTGAGCCACCGCTGCGGCCGCGGAACGCGTTACCGGAGGAAATTGAAACTGTACACGGTATTAACGTTAGCCTGGGCCGCGCATTATATCGACAGACAATATCGAGACAGACTTCCTCTTCAGCTGGCTCGGCTCGAACACCCACAGCCACGAAACACAACCTGCAACGAGGCATGCAACTTTAATAAAAACAACATTGAATTCTAGCGACTCGTGACACTTGCCGTATCGAGCCTTGGATATTCATGTTTCTATCTTTAGGGATACCTTTCTTATTGTTCGCGCCCACGCTGTCTTTTCAGTCGATTCTAGAGCGTGTCTTGCCGGTGCAAGACGTGTACAGGATGTTTTAAATTCAAAAGGATGCACCTACTGTGATGCGTCTGAGAAAAAGGAAGTTCGAGAATTTTTCTCGTGGGTAATTACTGAAAGAAAGGGTTCGATTCTTTTGGAGGATGTAAATGTAACTTTCGGCTTCTCTCTGCAAATTTTTAAGGTAAAAATGTTGCGAAACGGAGGGAGTTGCTGTGAAAGTTCTTGTGCCGGAGCGTCGATTGCTGGCCGCCATCGTCGGAGAGGATTGAAAGGTCTGAAATAAGAAATTCTTTTTGATTTGTAAATAAAAATGTATTGTCTACAATTTAGCTTACGATTTTTTCGATATCTCAATTATTTAATTTTGTAGAAATGTTTGAAGTTGATTTTTTTGGTAGAAAGAGGTTTTTCCTCTGTAATTTCCTTTAAACTTTTACAATAATTACAATTTTTAAAAAATTCTAAGCTACACTGTAGATAATACATTTTTATATATAAATTAAAAAGAATTTTTTATTTCAGACGTTCAGATGTTCTAGCAGAAAAGGTTTCTTAATTACCGAACAACTCCTCTATTTTGTAAAATTTTTACTTTGTAAAAATTGAAGAAAGAATCTGAAAGTTACATTTATGTGCTCCGACAAAATTAAAACTTTTCCTTTAGTAGTTACCTGTGAAAAAATTCCCAAAGTTTACCTATTTTTAGACTCCTCTCAGGCTGGTGCACTCCCTTAACCCTTTGGTCTCTCCTATTTTATCAGATCGTGTAATATGAAATGTTGGATTTCAAATTATTCACTGAACTGATCGCTCGAGTGATTACTCGAGTGTCGACAAACTTCGAGTTTTGTTGGTAGAATACTTGGTAAGTTGTCGTTGGAGAATCTATAGGTAACGTTACTGTGTTCAGAGGAGAATCTAAGGATTCGTATCAGGCGGCAATCAAGACGAGCGTAACTAACAGAAAATACCAGGCGCTGGTAATTTCATTTCGGATCGCCCTGTGTGTATTTATTTGATATAAGTTCGAAACTCAAATAGGAAAGTTTCGAGTCTAAGTTGGTACACTATTCATACGAATATTATAAAGTTCCGAGTCTACGACTGTGCGCTATTGACACGAGTATTACCGAGGCCAAATGCAGAATGTAAAGTCCAAACATGAAAGGGCTCGAGAGTCCGAGTTCTAATTCATTTATAATTCAGTTCTTACCAGCGCAGTCTAGTTTGCTCCCTTAATCTACAAATGTTGAGTCTGTTCATAATTAAAATGGTCTTCTCTAGGCGTGACTTCCTAGAAAGCTTCAATAGGTGCGATACACGAAGTGTTCATTAATGTAAAGTTCGTATTTTTGAGAGTGACCTGCATCACTTCCTGAATATTAACACGTTCGCTGCAACCCTATTGTTGAATCGTCGCTCGCTATCCCTCGCATTATTTTTGCACACACTCTTAATATTGATATTTTTATCAATTTTGCATAATACAACGCATGCCTGCATTTAGACATATGTAACGTGTACTAAATACGCGAATTGTGCTTTTTATATAGTGTACTATCGTAAGAATTGGTGCATTGCATATACTGGGTGTCCCAATTTTTCCGACTTTTTTTTTCAAACTTTGCCAGTATCTTCTGTGGGTATAAGTAAGAAAAAAATGTTATATAAACATAGGTCGTTTGAAGCTTTATTAAGAAGTTATAACAATGACCTGAAATACAATTTTGCAGTTGTGATACAAAATAGGAATAAATCAGGGACATGAACATCTGATCTGTTTATGCAAACTGTGTTTACGATCCGAGATCGTAATGAAGCTGTTGTCTCGTGTCATAGTAACCGCAACTTCGTTATCATCCCTTTCGTACTTCGTATTTTTCTTATAACTCTTTAACGAAGCTTCAAACGACCTATGTTCATATAACATTTTTCTCTTATCTACACCCATAGAACACACCGACAAAGTTTCATCGAAAACAACTGGGACACCCGGTATATGTCGCTGTTGTCAGCGAACGCGCCAAGCGATGTTTCGTCAATTGTTACCGAATGAAAAATGTCCAAAAAAAAAAAAAAAAAAAATTTCAATATTCGTCCACGCGATATAAAGCTACTAATATCATCAGAGATAACAGATTTTTCCTGATGCATCGTTCAATGTGGTACGATACAATACCCTTTAACAGTCATCCCTTTTCTTCCTTACGTTCCCTTTCTTCCACTTTCCTTTCTTCCTTTCTTCAAACGGCTATGATCAGAACAGTCGTTTGATCTATTTTCGCGGGATCGATGCAAGCGTCCTTTTCAAGCGTACTCTCGCACGCAAGAGGCAATAATAAAGGCGGAGGCGGCCGAAATGCTGAAGGATCTGAAACGAGTGTTACGTGGGAGCACTGGTAGTCGCGTGTTATTTAAGGGGTCTTAGCTAACCGATCTAAACTCGATCTAAAACCGCCTAGAAACGATACACACACCGCTTGTTTGCAGTACTTGGAGAATGGCACGACAATCAAATTAAAGGACGTTCGTTTCGAGGCGTCCGGCTCGTATTCCTGTCAGGTCTCGATGACGACTCCTATTTATAGCCAGCCTTCCGAAAGCGTTCAAATGAAAGTTATAGGTAAGCAGAAACGAGCATTTGTTCTCGAAAATTTCAATATTTATACGCCGGTGGTTGTTTTATAGTTGTACGTAAAACGGTTGCCGCGTGAATTCTGTCCGCTCGAAAATCTGCGCGCCGTACACATTCGTATCAAACGCGTCAAGGGTGTCAGAAAAGCGCTCACGGGTATCGCAGTTATAAACGTTAGTTTGTGAAGTTTTTAACTTTTTCAAATGTTCTACGTACGTTCACCGGTGCTTCTGAAAGTTGAACCTCTTCGTTTCGAATTATTACGATTTTTACGTTTGTACGTGATCAAAGATATTTTTCAAACGTCGATATGTGTGTTCAATTTTTCATTTCTGGGAGTTACAACAAGAAATAAAATATTTTTATGTGAAGATTTTACCATGAAAATTTGCCAAATGTGAAATTAGTCAAAGAATGGACAGAATTGACGTAGCGACACGATAATTTATATATTTTTCTTATTAATGGTATGTAGTTTTGCGCAGTGGTAGAATTTCTTCTTCACTTTTGTGTAGCTATGAAAAATTACCACAGTAATTATCTACCCTTACGTTAGAAACTTCGCTATTTCGGGAACTCGCAAAGTGTTACCCTTGGCAGGCACTAAAGAATGAAACGAATTCATACTCTAAATAATTTAATCACGCTATCATCAAGAATGCCAAAATTAGCGTCGGAGTGTTAAAGAACGTGATACAGCGTGACGGTTAAATATTTTCGAAGTAAACATAGTTGTGTTATAAAAAGTTTCACGGCGTTATGGTTATTTATGGACGAGCCAACGTTGTAAAAATGATAAAAAGTATAGAGACACTTTTAAATTCTCCGGTGAAAAAAATTCTTTGTTCTAATGTTAACGTCGTGTCACAAAGAGGTGACAATTCCTCGATTTTTATCTTCTGCACAGTTTTCTCTCTCTTCTTCTAAACGTCGCGTTTAAGTATTGAAACATTCTCTCGCGATATATTCGAAACATTCTCGAAATTCGTTAATTTCAATTTACTTTGAAACATAATTCGATATGAATACAAGTTTAAATCTGGAAAAGCAAATCGTTTCATTCGATGGGGAGAGAGAGAGAGAGAGAGAGAGGAGAAAGGCTTTTATGAAAATTTTTTTAATTCCTTTCGCTAGAACAAACGGGATGTGTTTACATTTTGCACTGGTATTTGTTGTATCAGCTTGTGTATCGTATTATCAGGACTTTATCCTGCATTGTTCTAAATAATATCGAATATTACAAAGCTATACTCGTTTGCGTAAACCCTTGGTTATGCTACTATTTCCATTCGTACTTTTTTAAACGAACGGAATAAATAACATAGTATAATTATGCGCAAATATTATACGCGGTTGTTGCGGCGAAAAGCTTAAACGCATAATAAAATGAGGTTAACACAGGTAGACACTGTCGAGTGTTATTAAATGCGCCCAATTTACCTGTACGTTTTAACACAGTACGCACGAATTAGCTAAAATTGCTTCACGCGTTTCGACTATTCTTGCGTTCACGCAAAATTCCAAAACTACCGACACGTTTCTCTTAATCAGATCGCGAGAATGGAAAAAAGATCGACCGGTAGAAAGCCGCGGGTTCGTCGTTTCATCGATCGATCAGAGCTAATTATGCAATTGTCCCCGCCTGTACCGTGCAATAAAATCGCGATAAAACGCGATATCTTTGCAATTATAATGTGCCATTCAGGCATAAAATGTTATACGACTTGCATCGGCATAAATTGCAACAGTTGCATACAGTACGTACACGATACACTCGGTGGAAAACACGAAAAGAATATATTTGCAAGCGTAATTTCGTTTGCGGGAAGAAAAGTAGCAGAATTTATTATTTTTCTTTTCTTCGTTTTTTTTTTTTCGTCGCTGATAGAGGAACGAATGAAAAAGAAAGAAAGAAAAGTTCAAGAAAACACGAAGGAAAGTTTAATAAAACTAGAAACACTGAGATTCTCTCTTCTTTTTATCTCGTGGCTTACAGCTGTGTAATTCTATTCTAATTAGCGTTATGAAATTATGCAGTACCGCAGACTGAAAACCCGAAAATCACGTTCAAGAAAAACATGTACATGGTCGGAGATAGTTTAGAGGCGAATTGCTCCTCCTCTGCAGCGCATCCAGTTCCTCACTTGACTTGGTACATAAACGGCAAGGAGGTGAGTAAATGTCAGAGATAACGGAGAGACTTCGCTCTGCTGCTTTCGAATGAACTCAGTTTTGCACTCCAGTAATGTCCTGGTTTTTAATTAGTTGCATCTTCGTGCACGCCTTCTTCAAAGTGTATCGAATTTTATGGTTCCCGGTAGAAAGTTCGTATATACTTAAGTGATTCGTAGAAATGACCGAATGTTAGAGTACGTCGAATCTGGGAAATGAAACTTGCACCTTTTTCGTTCAACTTTTCCTTAAGACTGACAATTAAAAGTTACTAACTTTTCTTGCATTTTTTTTTTTTTCAATTTTAATACTCGATCGATATTCATAGACTTTTTCAACTTTCCCTTTAAAGAAAAATTAGAGTTTCAGGGTGAAGTGACTGTAATTAGGTCTATCGTTTAAAAGCAAAGTTTAAATAAAAAGGAACAGAAGAATGACACTTTTAGTTCGTTCTTTGTTTCTCTGTGCATCGTTATTATAGTAAAAAGTTTGGAATTATTCGTCTGATTTAACGAATATTGCTTTCTACCTTTATTTCTCTATCAGTTTGGAATTAATGCTGCTGTAAGAAATCTTGATGGTAAAAAGTTTCGGTAATTGAAAATTTTTGTGGTAAAATTTTACTTAAAATTTGTTCTAAAAATTCTTCACGCTACTCGCAGTAAAATTTGATAGTTTCAGACTTTTTAACATTGCGCACAGAGAAATTATTGCATGATCTGTAATAGAAACGACACTTTTTTTAATCGGTATTCTGATTATGTGTCACGATTTTTTCCGTGTATTAAACTAGGTGGACATCAGTCTGGTGAATCACTATCCGTACACGCGTCACAATAATCAACTGTTCTCTGCTACTGCGAAGTTAACTATAGAGGTGTCCGAGTTGCACGCAGGGGAGAACGGATATCTGGAGATCAGCTGTTACGCTACCATTCCAGATTATCCCTTGAACCATGTGCAGTACGCTGATATTAGGAAGGAAACGGTTACGGGTAATTATTAAACCAGTTTTCACAGAGTTTTTTTATATTTTTCTGGTGAAACCCCGAGTACGATGAAAGGCTACACGTAAACCTAATTTTCAAACTTACTGCACAAAACTTCCCGGCCTCTAGCTTTGATAACTCATTGTAGTAGAATGGAAAAAAGTAATAAGAAAGTCGTGATACTTTCATAAATTGTTAACTCTGTGACGTAAAATGTTTAAAATTAAAAAAAAAATTCAATTTGCAAATCAAACGTTTTTGTAACCTCAATCCGGGAACTTTTGTTATATTACTGTCTTATAACTAATTTTTACAGAATTTTTCTCAGTACTGTTAATTAATTTGTTAAGAAATTTTGCTGAGAAAATTGGGAATTGAACTCGTCGTAATAAGTTTTCGATGAATTTTCAGATATATTAATTCCAATAAATTTTCAAGCTCTGATTTAGTGAATATTCAGAACCATTTGTCTGTTTAGTTTTTTTTTTTTTTCCGAATATTGAATTCGTCTAAATCTTCGAACACCGTCTCCATACTTCATATCTTTTTTACGCGTCGGATATCGGGAACTAATTTTCAGAGAATTTCTCAATCAGATTTTCAGATTCCACTCGCCTTTCACGCGGCCTATTTATTTCCAATATTTCTGCGGAACACGGAAACTATAGATGAATAGATTGCACGGGAAATGCGTGCATAAATCATCTAAAACTTTCGTTGTCCCGTGTTTTATGGTTTCGAACTTGGACAGTTTAAATTGAAATTCGCTTTTCAAATGGAAATTCGTTTCTTTTTATTTAGCCAGACAGGAATCGATCTATTAAATCGGACTTTTTAAAACGAGGCAAAATAAAAAAAAAACAAGAAAAAAGGTAGACGAAGTATCCTGTATTCAAGCATGATGCGTTTCCCCTTCTACTTTTCCATTAAAAGGGATTTTTCTGGTCTGATACGGTAGTGCCGAGATTTTCATCTCAAATTCCTTTTACAAGGCTCACATAAGTCAACCTAATGAATGAGATGCGTAGCCCAAAAGTAGGCGTTCTAATTAACCCGTTTGAAGCGCTATTGCACCGCGAGAGAAAACGTCCAGTTAGAAATAGTAATCGCGAAATTCGTAGTTTTTTTCACTTCTAACATTTGTCCGTACACTATTTTTCTCACTCTATTCAAAATTATAAGAAATTAATAAAAAAAAAAATATATTTTTCTCTGATATTTCTTCCTTATTCCATTTTCTGTATTTTTCGTTCAACTTGAGCCGTTCAACGAGGTAAATCTCGTTCGGAGATTTTTCAAAATTAAAATACCTGAAATAGAAGTAGTAAGTAGATCAGTAGGTACAATAAATAATTACGAAACGGTAGAAGTCGTCCAACCTTGTAAAGATATCCTTTATTCTTCGTGTTCTATTTAAACAGAGTTCATCGTAAACGTATAATCGTGTTGACTTGCATAATCTTCTTAATCTATGCACGTTGGACATTAAATATACGATTTTCCGTGGAAATGGGATTAACTGTTGCGTCGAAAAGGCTGGATATAGGAGAAAATGTCATAAGGCAAGAATAGATGGTAGTTGTTTCTATATTCGTCTTCTTCTATTAATTTACATCCACACCCTATATCCATTTACATCCGCAACCACACCCTAAAACGGCACACCTGCTCAAAAATATACCGCAACAGTCGTTAAAATTTTACCACGTGATATTCTCTCCTGTTACCAACCGGTACGATACTTCAGAATCACGATTCACTTCCGTTTACACGTCGCGGTTACTCGTCGAATAACGTTTGTCCATCGATTATCGGTAATTTCTTCTAATCTTACCGTACGTTTCTAACGTGCGATCTTTTTTACCGGTTGTGTTCCAGTGCAACTAAAACCCGCGCCGGTAGCCGAGTCCTCAGCGATGAGTGTCGCGCTGGGATGGCCCCCAGCTGCGTTATTGTGCATAATCTGCGCGATGCACATGATCATTCCTTAATAAAAGTCAATTGCTTTAGGATAATTAAACGAAACAAACTGAACACAAAGAAGAAGACAGAAAAAAAAAATATAATACACACACCGAGAATAAAAGAAATTAAAAAAAAAAAAAAGAAAGAGCAGATATGTACTATACGTAAAAGAAAAAAAAAACGAGGAATAAGAATCACAAACGGAAGGGAAAAAAAAGGGAGAACTTGGCGGGAAATGGGTGGGGTGGGGGATATATATATATTAAAGAACGAACAATCACAATGTCTTCCTTGATTATACCGAAATACACGGGGGCAGCGATTTTATTGTCTTGCAGAAATTTTATAACTCATATAGACGCGGCTTCTTCGTGCAACTATTTTCGATTGTCGCTTGTATCGATCGTTATCTATTTCGCGGAAAATATTATCGAATCCCGGATGAGAATCGATTGTTTCCTGGTCGTTTCGACTACGTTCAAGTGTTTGAGGGCCATCGAAACGACGAAAGAATGGAAAACAAAAAGGAAATGGAAAAAAAGAAGTAACGTGTAGTGAATTAGTAATTCGCCGGTAAACAGTGATTTTTTCTAAAAAAAAAAGGAAAAAAAAGAAGACAACATACGAAAAAAATAAAGGAACACATACACGGGCGCATTTTTCTTCTTCTTCTACTTCTGACGTCGACCGCAAGATTAACCCGTTTACCGTCATTTCCATATCTCTATGTACTTAACGTAACACATATAATGTCTATAATATGTTCTCGGTTTCAAATCTTTTAATAACGTTGACGCTATTACTCGTATACATATATATATTGAATAGAATAATTTATTCGTTGGTTTTCGATTGCTGAAAAGAATTTATCATATCCGGAAGAGTATATAAGAAGTACTGTTTTGCGTATAGGTTAGAAAATTATTCATGGTACGTGGTCGGTGTTGCGACGTGCGAGATCTTGAATCGATCTCGAGTCGATTCGTTCGGTCGGTAAATATATCGCAATGGTCTGTGACTCTGTAATGAATGTCAATTGGTCAATCGAATTTCTTATTCGAAAGTAAGAAGTGTAATCGTATATAAATTGTTTTAAACGAACATCGGCAGCATAATCGTACGTATCGATTCTTTATGAAAACATATTTCTAATTTTAACGTTCAACGTTCCAACACGTGAATTTTCTTCGTTCAGCTGGAGGTTCTATTTTCATGCAAACGTTAACCTGTTAACTGAGTTTATCTCTCTGTCAGAATTTGTATCTTGTGTGATGTAATACGAAATCGATCAAAATATTAACCAGTCACTTTGCTTTAGTTGCTGCACATGCGAGTGAGTGGCAGATTTATGACTATACAAAATGATTACATTCTAAATACTGTCTTATTTAGAATTATTATTAGTTTTACTCGAAGATAATTTTCCTCGGTTAACAGGTTAGAAACGATTTAGTGAAAGGATAAAAAGAAAAGAAAGTTAACCTAACCTTTACTGTATCATTATACAAAGTACGATGATTAACCTCTAGTCATTATTTTCTATTCAACACGCATAACCAAAGATGAACATTGTGATCGATTATTTAACGTTTTTACATTCTTAGATGTAGTGTAATCTAATTACTCATTGTGGGACTAATTTTAAGTAAAAAAACGAAAGAATTATCTATATATTTCATATACATATTGTGTAAAGAGATATTCTTATGATAAGTTACGTAAGTATGGTACATACGAGCTTCGTACGTGTGCATGTGAACGTTTCCTTTTCCAAATAATCTAGTCAGAAATTTATATCGTAGCAAATTACATATACGCGTGTATATGTACGTTTGCTAGAAAATGCAAAAATATCGTACGAATCTGGCATCCTATCGACAAATCAGGAAATTAAGACTGTTGTACCTTGTTATCGGCATAATGATATATATTATAATTCGTCGTAATTTAACGAGTGCAATTCGTTTAATCGTGCTGTTGTTCTTTTTACATTTCATCACTCGTTCCTCGTGTTTCGTACAAAACGAAGAAATCACAGATATTTATACGTGTGTTGTTATCGATGTAAAAATGAAAAAATATGGTATCTTTAAGATATCTTCCTAGTGTACCTTCTATAGTGACAGCGTTTCATTTCAGCGAAACTAGTTAATATAATTGATGCTGTAAAGTCAGCTACAGACGTTTAGTTATATTTTCCAATAAAATTGTACGATGTCGTATCTGACGGAAGATTGAGGAACTTTTATACGTGAGAGGGGGGCATTTTACTCTCGGTTATTATCGAACATTTTGATTTACATAAATCTCTTCTTTTTTCATTGTACTTGAAAATGCGGTACAGTAATTAAATTTTTTTCCACTTTTGCATAAGATTTATTAAAGATTCATATTTAACAAGATATTTCTTTTAACCTACGGCTCTTTAATGCAGCATATTATTTTCTTCTTTTCTTGCGTCTTAAAAGAAAAGCATCTTTCAATATCACGTAAATAAGTTCCTTTGTTTTTTACACAATATGACTCATTATCTCGGCGTACTTGATACTCCAATTGAGAAACGCTTTTGACGTGGAATCTTGAGCGGAAAATGAGAAAATTAAACGCTTAATTGCGTTCTGCGTAGCGAAACGAAAAAAAGATCTCATTTTCTGCTTTCAAATCTTCCGTGTTTATTTTACATTTCTCCTTCAATTTCTTCTTATCTTATTGCACGATACAACACCCGACCGTCTGTAGATGGCTACAATGAAATGCAAGCACGCGTGGGCTGGTCCCGCAAGAAAATAACTTGTTCGTTTCTGTACTAATTAGCGCTATTTTTAACGGGGGGAAAAAAAACGGGAAAAAAGAGAGCTCAAGAAGAAGAGGAAAAGTTTTTGCTCGATCAAAGGGTGCGGCAACGATCGAGTTATTTTGTTGTCCGCAGCCGTGTGCGTTTCATGCACGCCTATAAAAACTTCTACTATCCTGGGCGGAAAAACAACAAGGTGTAATTATAGAATTTCCTTGCCTACGCACCGCGCTCTGTGCACCCGGTCGATCAATAAAATTGTGTATACGACGGTTTTCCGGGACATCCCCCACGTGTGCACGATTCTGAAACGCTTCCGTTCCCCTTTTTCTTTCTTCTTCGATCGTTTTTATTTATTTATTTTTTTTTTTTTTCAGTGTTTTGTTTAACGTGTTTTCCGTGAAACAGAAGAAAGTGGGAAGAGTGAATGAGAGAGAAAAAAAGCGGCGAGAAAAAGCGAGTGGAAATGTGAGAGAGAGAGAGAGAGAAGAAAGAGTGATGATCGTCTCTATATGATAAGAGGGTTCTTCAGCAGGTGATACTTTCGACATATCGTGCAACATATCGTAGCGTTATAATTACACGTAAAGAGTTAATCTTTTCGAGCCTCACGGCTACTCGATTGTCCCTGTTGTCGAGAGGCGCGCGATATAATAGCCGCGACACAATGCCGATACAATGGAGACGCTGACGAACGCGACCCAGCTCAACTGTTATACACTGTGAGATGATAAAAACGGAACTTCACCTTGGGATAATTTTATTAAATTCGAAACAAACACATGGAACATATTAACAACAATTTTTTTTTCAAGATTTTTCTTCAAATTTTTTAATACAGGTATCTTAAATTATATTTTCTTTTTTGTTTAATATAAAACAATGTCACTATGAATTTTACTCTGTTGGTATTAATAAAAATTTAAAGAAAAAATTATATTTTACTTTGTTAGATTTAACGCAGATTTTAATTTCTGTTATCAACGCACCGTAAGATAGGATCACCCGGTATACGTCGCGTTGGGTATCACAAAATGGGAGACAAAAGGCGGCTGGGTCGCGGGAAAGGAAGCAAATTCACGTCTGTGGCGGCGATCATAGACAAATGATCAAGATGATGTTGTTGTTGTTCACGTTGTTGTGCAGTTTTCAAGCGGTGACTGTGACCACAGATGAGATTCCATCGAGCGACCATAACAGGGATATCCATTTACCGAAGAAAGTAGCCGTGAGGGTAGTCGGCGGAGAGATCACTGACATAAGGAAGTATCCGTTTCTTGTAGGTGAAATGCGCCCGTGACGTTTACCTAAAATAAACTATTTAACAAACCACGGATAACGCGAGTCACTCTAATCATTTTCAACAAATCGAGACAGATTAGCGGTATAATAACGAACAAAGGCGTCGAGACTAATGTCAATTTACAAGATATCTTTCCTAACACGTGAATCTCAATCATTGTAACGAAGACAATTCCTTGACGAATTATTTTAATAGAATTCATAGAGCGTTTAGCATGAAAAAATACGTAAAGCGTGTCCTATTGACGGAATTGATGGAATTATTACGACGCAGAGGAACAAAGCAGAGAAAACTTCTTTGATTAGTTTTCAAGTACTATTCTATACTACACGATCCTGCCGAAATAAATTCTGTCACTTGTGTATTCATCTGTTCGTCACTTCTTTCTTTCACTAGTTACAATTTCTTTTCAATAGAGAAAGAGAAGGAAGATAATAGTATCGTTCGAAATGACCACCATTAATATTGGCTTCTAAGGATATTTTCAGGGTTGCTTGTGTCAGACTGAACCCAAATTTCTATGGGAAATCTTTCAGATCATTTTCTCTACAATCGCAGTTTTAAATCTGGCCTACCAGAGAATCAGTTTGCAATTGAAATAAACTATGGAACATGATTCCATTGTCACTCTTAAGCTCTAACATAAGCCTCATTTTTTATTGTCATAGAATTTTTCAGTATCATGGGATAAATTCGTTGAATATATCTGATAACGCTTTGACACTTTAACAGCAGAACTTATGGCAGGATTGTGTACACTATACACTAGCGTAGTGATTTTTCTCTGGAAATGGTCAGAGTGATCCTCAACGGTATCCTAGTTGTATCGGTAAGATATATAGGGGTTCGCTGATGACGAAACCGAATTTTCAATGTCAATTTCTCGTAGGTCTCGGTCCAACGGCGACACTTTAGTCATATCTGCGGAGGTACTTACATAGCACCGAGATTCGTTTTGTCAGCCGCTCATTGCATGGTCAGGTGCGTTCTAAGACTGCAACACTTATACAGTCTCTCGCTCTTTGCCCGAAAATGGTAGCAGAGTATCGTCTACACAAGCTGGATCTCGAAAATGTTTCCTCCTTGAAAACGAAAAAAACATAAAAATTACGATTCGTTTTATGAGCGAATCAATGAATTTTCATTGCTCTTCGAATCTATGATTAAACACACTGAACGCATATTCTACGCTAATATTGAATATCTTACGCAGTTTTTAAGAGCTTCAAGAATAATTTGCGTAACTTTATCGATCCTAGGAGCAGTCGAACAGATTAGAGATTCTGTTAATCGAAGATGAGAATTTTTTTATAATTACATTCTTTCCTCGATCGAAAGGGAATCGATTTTCGCCGTTTGAACGTTGGATTGTAACGTGTAAAAATGATTTTGCTTGAAATTTAAGAGAGAAAAGTCTGAATTTTTCCATGAAATATTCAACGGTTGAGTGAAACGAATTTGTTGTCGATAAGTTGTAACGCTTGTAAGATTCTCTGGATTTTTAGAATTTTATAAATTTCGTATGAACCAGAGATTTTCTTTTATTTAAAGAAATATTTCACGTACACTTTATCCATGATTAATTAATTGCGGTGGGTTATAATAATTCGGTATAAAGTGATAAATAATTCAAACTTTCAGTATCACTGCAAAATATACAAATAATTTCCTTCTCCCTCGTCGATTAGATAAAATTAAGCGAATTTCATTTACGAGCATCCTCAGTGGCAAAGTGACCTCGTTTGCTTTAATATTTTTTTTTAGTTATGCTTGTGACACGATAACCATATGTTATACGGTAAAATCAATTTACATAATCTCGTAGACTTCACATATACAGAATCGATTTCCTTTCGATGCTCGCTCTAATAGCGATTTCGTAGGTATTAGCTAGTCAATTGAAACGAAACCATGCGATAAACGACGTGTATAGTTATTTTTTTATTATGATTATAGATAGACGAAATATCGCTCAAAAACGAAAAAGAGAAAAGAATGAAACAAAAGAAGAAAGATAATGTGTGTTTTATTAGCTCTCGTGTATTTTTGTGCTACCATTTTACGGTCATAGAGCAGTCTCCGCTCGTAGCGCTTTCATTGCCAACATAGACACGTAATGCTGCTTTTAAAAGTCTTCGAACGTGACAAATACGAACTCTTGGCGATATTAGGGATCTACTATAGCTCGTTCGAAATTAACTGGTCGTTCAAGGTCGTTCGTTTGATAACTCCAATTGCAGGATTTACATCTCGAACAGAGAGGAGATTGAACTTAAATTCTACAAACGAACAGTATCGATTATTTTCTATTCGCTATATTTAAAGTCCTACTTCAGCGGAGGTAGACAGTACCAAAGGAGAATGCTTTCGATTGTTTGGTTTCACAAGTACGTCTTTGAATGAATGGAATACTGTTCAAGTTAAGCTTCGGTGCTTAAAGGGATCTCCCCGTTCTGTTTCTGTTGGTACGGTTTAACAACGTTCACGTTCGTGTATCAACGAACGTGATTATTTTCAGTCGGTAAAACGTGAAGTGGCGGGAAAAATTCTGTTCGATTTTTTCTCCTTTCTATTTCGAAGACGAGGTATGAAATATATAAGCAAAGTGTGAAAATAATTAAGTCGCGACGACGAGATTGTGTAAAACAGCCTTGACGATCCAATTAATTTCGACGAGACTGTAGCTGCGTCAATTTTACCATCAAATCGTATTTTTGAATTAAATTAACGCGATCGTTAACCCTTAGATTGCTAAATGTGCGATCTAGAATAGAACGTTTATGTCTATGAACGAGCCTAGAGGGAAGATGTTAGTTGAACATCGATATACGATGTAACAATCGACGAAAAGACGAGTAGATGATAATTAACTAGTTATTCGTTAACCTGTTAACTGAGAGCCGCTATTCTATACACATAGAAATGCTTCTATCTGTACAAGTGTAAACGTTGAAATTAAACAAAGGAGTCAATTCAATTTGTTCGAAGTAAATGTGAAAATGTCGATCTATCGCTAAGAAAATTTAACAATTAAAAAAAAAAAACGTATCTTCCAGTGCACCAACGCTTTTAAGAGAGAAACTGGAAAATCTTTTATCGTTGAAACGTATCGCGTAACAGATTTCGTCGCTGTTAAAATGTAATCGTAACGAGGTAAATCGCTATTAATACCTGCTTCGTTCACTTCGAAGTAATAAAAAAATTAGAAGCAGACTATCTTTACGATTGTGTAGTGTCAATTATCAAATTTCGATCGGTAGCTTGTATTGATATTAAATTAACAATTACAATCGGCCAAGTTAACAGGTTTCACCGTTGAACGAGAACAAAAGAGACGATGCTTCGATCGATATCTGAACGTCTACGTCGTGTCATTAATCGCGGATCCAGCATACGTAAATGTAGCATGAGTACCAACGACAGTAGCGATCACAGCAGTGAAAAGGGTTAGCGGCGTTATAATAGCGTATTTAACGTTTAACAACCGAAAAATAGCAAAAGCAGAGAAAATCCAAAAAAAAGAAAAAGTTAACGAAAAATAAAGCAAAAACTGACAATGTGAGTGCGCTAATCACACAGATACACCAAACACACACACACACACACATACACGCACACACTGTATCTTTGTAATCGGTTGATCCGTTTCCCATCGACTTTCGAGGTGCGTTTTATTATTTCCCGTGTGAAAAAAAAAATTAAAAAAAAATCAGCTTTCTCTCCACTTTGGAAACAAAGAATCAGTGGCCGCCCGTGATGATCTTACACGCCACAAAATACTTGGAAACAAAAAAAAGAAAGAAACAGAAGAGAAAGGAAAAAAACAAGCAAGCAATTATTATCAGTATAATCGGGAAAAATGATCTTAAATTCGTACGCATAGAGAGACGTCCCGTGGCAACTGGATAGCCGAGAGTCCACGTCGATTTTACGCGATCGCCGGAGCCACTTACGTGTACTTTCCAAGCTGGAGTTCCATACAAATGGAATTGATAGACGGGACTTTCCCGCACACGAACTTTAGATTATCGAACATGCATCACGATATTGGATTGTTCAGGGTGACTATTATGTGTATATATAAACTCTGTGTGGAAAATAAAAATAAACGAAAGAAATATATATGAAAAAAAGAGAGAAAAGAGAGAGAAAAAAAAAAGGAGAGTGACGAGGTTGAATTTCTCGAAGTGAACGATCCTGTGTGAACCTAACCAAAAATTATCGATTATTCGCGATTGATTTCCACGTTTATTTTCAGCCTCGAAATTCTTCTATTTTAACTCTGCATTAACCCTCTGTAACCTGATTTTTCTTCGCCCTTGGGGAAGACAAATTTCGATCGATTCTCTTTTACATTTTGATGAGAGATGCAAGAATAAATATGAAAAATAATCGTTACAAAAGAAAAGTAGTAATTATAAATTTTAAAAATTGTAATTTTTACAAATTGGCTGGTAATAATGTGATAACAATAGGCAAATAAAGCGAGACCATGAAATATAGATAAATGAATATGTAACTTCCAACTCGCATAACGTTACAGAGGGTTAAAAGAAAAAAAAGACAGTATTTTTCACTTATCTTTTTGTGTAACCATGTTTTTGTTTTATTTTATCGAATATTTTTTTCGACACGTATAAACTTTATGTGAAAACAGTAAAATGTAGGTTTAAAAAAAAAAAAAAAAGAGTTGAGAGATAACAGAATCGAGTCTATATCGAGCTATATCAAACGAACAAAAGATTATTTCGTCGATTTTCATTTTATTTTCTCGTTTGTTCTCTGCGTTCAGCTTCAGAAACCCTTTTATATTAACTCACACGTGAAATACGTCACCCTTCCTCTGGCCTATGACGCAAACATTTTCCAAAGGTACACCGACCCGTGCACGGTGGTCGGCTGGGGACGACATATTCCTGGATCCAATGTACGTAGTTTAACCGCACCTAGTTATTTACTGTCATCTGCAAAAATTGTTTCATTGATTGGAGATGAGGGGCAAAGAACAGTCTATTGGAGTTTCCATCGTACGGGGCGTTGAAAATGCACAGCGATGCTTCGAGGGTGAATACGAAGTGCGGTAAAGAGGACGAGTGGCGAGCAAATATGGAACATATGTGTTGGAGGTTCTGTATTACAGGGGATTAACCTTTCGAGTGGAGAAACATGAATTGTTCGTCGCAACGAGTCAGTTTTACAGTGACCGAGTGTATTCAACCCCTTTTCTTTATCATATTTCCTTTTTATTTTTTCATTCTATTTTCGACACATTTTTATCCTTTTTTTTAATTCCATTTTTTTTTTTCTTTTATTCTACATAGGTGCGTTTTATTTTTACCCTGAATTCCGTTTCATTTTCTGTACTATTTTTATTTTATCCTTTTTCCATCGTTTCACCCATTTCTCTGTAATTTTATTTTCGTGGTTTGTACGAATTAATTGAATATCAATTACTTTTGTAGTTGTAAGTAGTTGCGAGAATTATTCAAGAATTATTTGTCTGGTGAATAGTTTGTTAAATTAGCAGAGTATATGAGATGTTTATTGAGATACGTGCTGAAGTAGAGAATTGATATGATTATTAAATTCATTTGTTAGTTTAAAGTAGATTATAGTTATATGACAATAATTGAAGGATAGAGTAACATGGAGAAATGCACTTTGTTCATCGCAGTGTATTCATTTACTGCAAATTGGAAATACGATACAATTATGTCTACACGTTTCGCCTTTATATTGCTATGAAAATGCACTTTTACAACGCCCCTTGCGATATGTTGTACAGTGCGAACTTGTATACTCTCGTAATGAAAAATCGTAAGTTATACTTGTGGAAAAGCATGATCAAATTTCGTGTTATTATTATATACTTAAAAGTTAACATTCTAAATTTCTTTGCTTCCTTTCATTTTTCTTTATGTTAATTTATATGCTACTATAGTTGCACCGCCAAAATTCAAATGATTTAAAAATCGATTAATCACGGCACGTACCATCAGTCAATAAAAATTTTTGCAAGAATAAAATGAAAATCTCATCGAATACGTAAGTATGTACTAATGAATGTATTAATACAGTAAAAGGGTTTTATTCAGAAAGGAGTCGGTACTTATCTCCGTCGTGTTCATATTCCATTAATTCCGACGGAGAAATGCCCTGTTAAAGGAGTTCACACAAGATGGCATCTGTGCGCAGGCGTACCAGAAGGTGGACTAGACTCTTGTCAAGTTTGTAATAATTTACACTTATAAATACGTATCTCGTGTTTTAATAACGTTCTTATAATGAAAAAGGCAATTTCAGGGCGATAGTGGTGGACCATTACTATGCGATGATATACAAGTGGGTATAGTATCATGGGGAGAAAAAATTTGTGCTCTTCCGCAATCTCCAGGCGTGTATTGTCGATTAGACTTGTATTTAGATTGGGTGAACAAGACTGTAGAAAACAATAATGCATCCATAAATACTTTTAATATTGCAAGCATGTTTCTTTTATTGATGTACATTGCATTGTAGAATATAATAATTCCTATAATTGAAATAAATAGTATAACTAGTAAGAAGGGAATAAACATTTTTTTATGTATTTTTATAATTTCAAATTATTTCCTATTGAGATGTTCAATAAAATGATATGGTGTGAAAAGATGTATTGTTCCATGCGCGTGTTCTACTGCTGTCGAGATATCGTCAAAGTTCTATCACAGACTACATAATATTTAGGTATATACAGGATAGACCTAACACCTAATGCACTTTTTTGTCCACGTTAAGAGGGCTGAGAGTGCCCTTACCATTTTCGTGTCGCTGTCAATGTTACCGATTCAGCATAGAACAAGGTTACAATATTAATATGGTTGGAATTAGAAAGAAATGTAACTATGAAATTACAAATCAAAGGTATAGAACAGGATACTATATAATCGTACACGAAGTATAGAATAATATTCTTCTAAATGTATTATAATATTTAGAGATTTTTGTTTATTATTACGGGTTCCTAACGATATTCGGATTTACATTAGTTTATTTAATATTGTAGTGGTTTATTATTTAAAGAATGAGTGTTGCACAAAAGGAAGTGGGTGTGGTGTCTAAGGGTACAACAGTACTGATATATTGTAACCTTTTGTAATATACATTTTGTACACTTATCTTACAATAAACAATTGATTTTTTCTTCGATTGCATTTTCTTCATTTGTCCTTATGTTTAAATTCTTTCTTTGATTCCTGTGGTGTTCTGAAAATACCATCTGTAATTTATACACAATCAACATTAATTTTTAATAAAAGTTATAAACAATGTCGGTCTAATCCACTGAATACAATAGTTAATTCAGTGCAAAATTAATATTTTAAGCTGTTTCATTAAGTTCAAGCAAGCAATAATATTATTTAAGGCTTCCAATAATTATAAACAACCATCCAAATTGTTTTGTGACAGGAAATACTAATTTTTCTATAATTAAAATCTTTGAAAATAAAGCAGAAACTGTATTTTACTATCTACACAATTAGTAATGTTAAAACAAATAGAAATTTATTATAAGTATCAATTAAATACAATAAAAGTAACGAGGATAACAATAGCGAAGAGAGATAAGGAAACTAATAGCGGTAGATAAGGATAGCACTAAAGAAATGAGTTAGACAAGGAAAGGAATACGGTTAGATAAGGATAGCAATAGTGCCGTGTGTTAGACAAGGAAAGCAGTAGGGATAGACAAGGACAGAAAATTATCAAAGACGACACTAGCGCCATCTCGTGTTTGGCTGCGCGAACTAACCACTCGTTACTAGCATAACAGAATATAAACAGAGTTATTAGACAAGGAACGCACTAGTGTGCGACAAGGAAAGAGAGAAAACGTTTCCTATTGGTCCGCGGGCCGCTAAGCTCCACCTATCAGGCCCTAAATCAAGCCGGTCGATGAAAAATCATCAATAACTCAATAATTACGTTGATTCTATGAACTTTTAGTATTGAAGAATGAAGTGTGGACCTTCAGCAACTTTCACATATAATTTTTAAGGCTCTAAGTCCTTTCAATAATTAGTTATTAATATTTGTTGCGCGAGTTGTCAGAAACGATACGACAGTCCCTTACGCAACATCAAATCGACCAGGGAAAAATCGTTAATAACTCAATAATTACGATGATTCTATGAACTTTTAGAATTGAAGAATGAAGTGCGGACCTTCAGCAATTTTCTCACATAGATTTTAATGCACGAGACCCTCTCAATAATTAGTTATTAACAATTAAGTAGGTGATGTCGGAAACGATACCGCATACCGTCAGGTACTTTTATGATTTTTCAATAATTTCATAGCTTTCTACTAAATTCTCATGCAACTAACTATATGCGTCTGAAAGGTAACTCCTTTGGCTATATTCTCATATAATTTTTATATTTATTGAGTTATTAACGATTTTTCCCTGGTCGACTTGATGTTGCGTAAGGGACTGTCATATCGTTTCTGACAACTCGCGCAACAAATATTAATAACTAATTATTGAAAGGACTTAGAGCCTTAAAAATTATATGTGAAAGTTGCCGAAGGTCAACACTTCATTCTTCAATACTAAAAGTTCACAAAATCATCGTAATTATTGGGTTATTAATGATTTTTCCCTGGCTGACTTGATGTAGCCCGCGGGAGGTGGAGGTTAGCTGCCCAACAGCCAATAGGAAACATTTTCTCTCTATCCTTGTCGCACACTAGTGCGTTCCTTGTCTAATAACTCTGTTGATATTCTGTGTTCCTAGTAACGAGTCGGTAATTCGCGGAGCCAAACACGAGATGGCATTAGTGTCGTCTTTAATAATTTTCTGTCCTTGTCTGTCCGTATTGCTTTCCTTGTCTAACACACGGCACTATTGCTATCCCTATCTAGCCATATTCCTTTCCTTGTTTTTATTCATTTTTGTATTGTTAAATACCTCCACGACTTATCCTTCGTAATAAGTACGACTAAAAATATTGAATTGCGTAGGTAGAACTGTTTAGGATGTTTTGACAGAAAAGAACACACGTATGTGATAAATTATCTACTAATACAGAATTACGTTACTTTCTTATTTGTAATCTCATAGTTACATTTAATTTTAATTCCAATCAGTACTCATGTTGTAATCTTATTCTATGCTGCTAAATCGATAACGTTTATAGCGACACGAAAACGGTAAGGGTCTTCTCGACCCCTGTTCCGTGGACACAAAATCCCATAAGATGTTAGATCTATCCCGTACCTCGTCTACGGTTATAGAACTGATTGGAGGAAGGCATGAAAAAGTTTAGGGTTGACAAGCAACTCGACGTTTTATTGCCTTTAGAATGTAAACATTGTTTCTAGAGAAGTAGACCATAAAGTGAGGGTGGCAAGGATGTTCTAGAAAAAGGACTATGAGGAACACCATGACCTTTACCCCAGAATCTCCATAGCGAAACAAACTTAATATTTTTAGCATGTGAGTTTAAATAAATTGTACAGCTTTAATGTTCAAACGCTTTTGTATTAGTACTACACAGCGTTATATTACTATCATAATGATATTGTCATTAATATTAAAATGCACGAATTAATACAATTCTTAATAAAAAAAATTCTTTGAAATAAATCACTAGTCTGATTCTGTGCATTGTATTCCATTTTCGAAAATTATTTTGCAGCTAACTTCACTGCAATCTTTGTGTCAGTGACTCACATGGTTAACCTATATTACAGAAGCAATTGTTTATAATATATGATTCAATCTTTCCAAAATGGGCTTGAAAGAAAATTTCGATGTTTACGTCGGTTGTACATCTGGAGTTTTTAAAGGTAATTCTGAATAATTCAATTTAACATGTTTTAATTTCAAATTTTTAAAATTACAATGTAATGACTGTGTAAGTTAACTACAAGAGATGCTTTTTGATTTATGTACGAAAAACATTGCTACTGCAACAAATTAAAAATATATTTCGATTGTACACTTTTGTTAATAGGTATAAAAGTAGATAAAAAAGGATGTGAGATTAAAAACATACAAAATTTGGTGTCAATAACGGATCATGATAAGGTTACCTCAATGTCTTGGGGTGACGATGAAGAAAAAGAAATTTTACTTGCCTGTGGTGTAAAAGGCGTTAGGAGGTTATATATAATGAGTATCAGTTAACATAGACTTGTTATTCATGTCAGAAATGTTATAATAACAATTTATATTTTGCAGTGTTAAAGTTTATGATGTAGATTGTTCAATATTTACATGCTCCTTCTTTTGCAATATTGGAACAGGAAGAATTAATGGTATATCGCGATACGATGAGTAAGTAATCATTTAAGGGTACTGAACAATATCTTAGCACTTCCTTTTAATATATTGCTCTTTTTATAGAGCAATTTTAACGGCTGTTCATTCAGGAGAAGTAAAACTGTGGAGATTTAAGGAAGAAGATCAAATTCTAATAAAAGCAGGTGAAAATTTGAATAAAATGCGCCATTCAAAAGTAAATAAAAATATTATAGCCACTGGAGGTGAAGAACATATGCTAAAATTATTTGACTTAAACAGACAAGTGCAGACATTTATAGAAAAAAATGTACCTCATGACTGGTTAGAATTAAAGGTTCCTGTCTGGATTTCGGATATAGAGTTTCTTCCTGGCACAGAACAGATTGTTACAACTAGTAGATATGGCCATGTAAGATCCTAATTATTACAAGATTCTGTTATGAAATTGTTACATCATTTAAAAACAATTAAATCTTTCAAGGTGCGTTTGTATGATCCAAAAGTACAGCGAAGACCTGTACTAAGTGTAGAACTGGAAAATGAACCATTAACAACTTTGAGTGTTGTGCCCAGAGAAAAGTAAGTGTACTCTACTTAAAGTCAAAATACTATATTTTTCTGTTAATACAAGTATAAAAAACTAACAATTAATTTCATTGTAGGCAAATCATAGTGGGTTCTGGTAAAGGCAAAATGAACCTTATAGATCTGAGGAAATCATCAAAAGTATTAAATACATATAAAGGTTTCCTTGGTGGTGTGACTGGAATATCTTGTAGTACCAGTGAACCTTATGTTGTTAGTGTTAGTCTAGATAGACATTTACGAGTACATCACATTGATACAAAAGAGTTATTAAAACAGGTACGTTTTGTTATAATTTAATTAAATCAAATATTTATACAAAAAGTAACATTGTGATGAAAACAAGCATTTATTGTTCTGTGTTGCAGGTTTATTTAACGTCAAAAATGTCGTGTATGTTATTACGTTCAGGATTTTCATTCACAACAGCTAACGAGATCAATGAAGAAAGTACACAAGGACGCGATAACAAAATTGGCAAGAATGCAGAAATAGAAAAACAAAATGAACACAGGAATTCAGACAGTGATTTGGAATATGATACATTATTTAAAAGTATGCCAGTAGTTGGTAATAAAAAGGATGAAACATTAATTAAAAGGAAAAAAATAAAGAGGGATTCGTTATTAGATAATGAAATTGTAAGTAATTTGGTAATATCTTCTTTCTCCTTCGACTAGTATAAAAACTGTAACAAACAGAAGTGATCGATTTTTTCTTTCATTTGTAATTCATAGGTATCTCACAAATCCACATTGAGAAAAAGCGAAAAACCAGAAAAAAGTTCAAAAAAAGTGAAGAAATCAAACTTGACCGACATAGTGTAAATAAGATAACGATAATCAATAAACTGTTAATGTGAATAGTAATATCCATAAACGATAAATAAAATTCATTCATATTTTTGTAATAAGTATGTTTATAAAGTTTGAATAAATACTATTGGCATTAGGTACAAAATATCGAAAATATTAAATAATTTAAATATACCATGTATATACCATGGATTTGGCAAATCCCGAAAGAACAAGGGTAACGAGGTGCACGGAAATCATTACAAACAATAAAGTAAAATGTTTCTGTTACGATGTATTTTGTCACTCAGCAACTCGTTTTTTTTTTCATTTGTACCTTACATGTACAAGGGACATGAATAATACGCTAATCGCTTTTGCCCTGGATATACAGTACTGAAACGCGACTAAGTGTACTGCCTAATTATTCGATTAATTCTTTATTGTACAATTTATTCTTAATACCTTGTCTATATATTGTTTTGGTTCATGAATGCAGCGTACACCGACTTCAATTGTTTCTCAACACTAACGATGTTTATTCTCTGTTAACATTACATTAAGTTGTGCTTCTGTTACAATTATAATATTGAAATCGGGTGCGCTGCAGGATGTAGGCTACTGTAGATTTTTGTTACGTCTAGAAACTAGAAAAAAGTGAACGTGACAACTTGTAAAGTTGAAACGCATTTTGTACTAAAAGGAAATAATGTTCGCAGCTACAGCACACTAATAAATCTTATTCGGTTACAATCCTTTCAGCTGTACAAAAATCATTGTCCACTACGCCTCTTGTTAATTAATACTAACGTAAATTTGCTTTATCCTGACTGCGTCCTTCATCTGAAATGGAATATTTATTCTTATCCTCGTAAGTGTATCTAGGAATAAATTTACTAAATTACAGGCACTGTCCCCTTCAAGAATCAAGGTGGTTTTTACCCATATTTCTACAGACAAAATGGAGCTTTGTGCCAAAAAGGAAAATCTATTCCTTGGCACAGAGGCCATTTATATACAAATTTTCCACATATAGATGTAACATGCAGATTTCTGCATAATTTATAATTCCATCTCTTTCGTGCAGTAAGCGTAGAACAAAGTCTGTTTCGAAGAGAAACAGTTTCTTTTTCAATTGATCGATAAATACAATTTGACATTGGTGCTTTGTTAATCTTTGTATGACATTATACAGGTAATGCGAAAAACTAGGATTAGCATGATACGTATTTACGATAACTAATTGTTGCAATTTCCAAAATAATTTCTTTCACTTAATCATTGGTTACATTTGAAAATTAGTAATAATATAAAACGTCATTACAAAAACTTTCCATTCGTCATATTGTTTCACGACGCCATTTATATTTTAATAATCACATCATATACAGAATTTGGTCAGAGATCACGTAAAATTTGTTTAATATGCTCTCCAATTTTCATTTTTTCTGTAAATAAAAATTCATGAGCATAGTAGTTAATTTATAAAAACTTCATGTAAATTAAATACAAACATAGAATCATTCAAAAGACGCACTATTAAATAAAATCATATGTACACACAAGTCTAAAATAAAAATGTTCAAAATTAAGTTATTACACAATTAACTTCAATGATGTGCTGCAGATACCTTTAAACGTCTAAAGCATTGGTTGGAACTGTGGCAGCGCATGCTAATAATAAAGTTGTTCTCATTTTTCACACTTGTAGGCCTCTTGATACTTAATAAGGTATTTTCGTTTTGTAAACATTACTTTTCTTTTTAAGTTACATAAAATAATAACATATAAATTCAACGACAGATCGCAGTTTGAATTTATGTAAGTATTGCTTTCCTGTACTTAAAAGTATCTCGTGAGACTTGTATAGAAGTTACATACATGATAACACAATCAATTTTTAATATTTTATATACTATTCGTATTTTATTGTTTGTTATTTATTGTATGCACACTACTTTCGTTTGATTGCTACATCAGAGTCAGCTGTTAATGCAAAATCAAAAGCACCATGTTTTTTTCTCCTTTTTTTTTTCCTTTTGTAAAGTATCACCTGCTGTGCAATCGTTTATTATGCACATCAGTTTCTAATATTCAGACATCTAACGTGATAGTTCACGGATAAGAAGCTATTTCTTTTTTTTTTCTTTTTTGATAAGCATACAAGATATACATATTTAGACATTTGCTTAGAACTGTAGTTATTCGTTCCTGTCAGGAAAAAGCATGGAAGGCCTCTGTAAAAACGAGGTCCATATTTATTAATTATGGAGCACTCTTCAATATACGATTACTCTCTTTCATGTCTTTTGGACATGTTTCTAAACTATCTGATGTAAATAAAGTAAATTATTTCGTAATCTTTGATCTGAAATAAAATACAAATTCCAGTATAAGAAGGAGCATAGCAACATTATAAATGTAAAGGATGCGAGAAACAACTATTTGTTTCCTTGAAAATTCTGTTGTAACATTCCCAGTGTACGATTGAAGAAAGGGTGTACAGATATTATACCCTGAGCAGATAATGGCGTAGCAATCGTTCCTGGCAAGAAGCTCGAACGTCTATGCTGAGTAGCATTTGTACCATAAAAAATTAAGCTTAATCAACTTTTATACAGTATGCAACATCGCGTTATCGTTTATCGTGTCCAGCAAAATTCATTTCATTATTTTTCGCGCTCAACGTGACTTCGTTATTTCAGATAACAATTATTTTTGTAACGTAAATTCATTGAACGAGCAAAGAACAATATTCCACGTGTTTTTCGTAAATTCTTAAGTAAACAAAATGCAAAGTACTAAGAAGAAATGAAAAACAAGCTTAATCGTTCGTTGCTTGTTTGCTGTTGCACTGCAAAATTTGACTTTAAAGTCACAAATTCATTCACAATTTCATGCTTAATAGCATTTTAAGATAATATTGCCTCATTCTCCTCCTGATACGGTTACTTCTCTCCATGCAGATTCTTGAGACTGATTTACTAAGGTTGACTGAGGTTCAGAAATATCTGTTGCTGCAGGACTCAGCGGTGGACTAGGTGTTGCGGGTGCTTCTTCAGATTGGTTTACTTCAGCTGCATCCTGATCAGCGTCTGCGTCACCATCAGCAATAGAAGCCTCCGACTGCACAGAACTCGGAGCCTTTGAGGCGTTAGAATTCTGTGCTCTTAATGATATAGAACTATCTTTATTGCTACTGCCATCTTCACCTATAGGGACATTTATTTTTCCTTAGGACTCATATATTTTAAATAATGAAAATGTACAGATTGAAGTGTGTTCTTACCACAAGGCCTAAGAACGAGGTAGAAGAGTAAGTCAGATAGAGAAATTATACCGATCACTTTATCATCGTCATCAACCACTACTAGCCTATGGACCTAAAAAAATGTTATACATTTTTATTAAAAAATAATATTAATTAAAAAAAATTCTTTTTAATATTGATTCAGAGATAAGACATACTAAATGATGTGAAAATTGTACCTCTGCCCTAACAATTCTTTCCATAATAGTAAACAGTGTTTCATCTAATTTACAACTTTGAACTCCTTCAAACCATTCATTACGGTGCTCATTTGCTTCTTGAAGTGAAACATCTAAATTGTTATATGTCTTTTCTGCAGCTAAATTCTGTAAAAATATAAGAGTAAGATAATAATTATACAATCAAACATCAAAATGTATCAAGTAAGATTTATAAAATTTACTTACAATAACATCAAACTTTGAATAAATGTTAACCAACTTTCCTTCAGTATCAATAATTGGTAATGCAGAAACTCTCCTTTCAACAAATTTTTTGAGTGCTAAAATTATGCTAGTTTCTTCTGTTGCTGTTTCTATGTTGTCAAATGAACCTATCCTTAATTCTCTCAATGTTTTACTAGTGAAAGATGGTTTTGGTAGCTCATGTATCTGTAATGAAATTAACATAACAGTTTTGTTATATATTTCTCAGACTTCTATAATCTCTTGTCTTGTACTTACATAAAGGAAAAGGAACCTAAGAATTCGTTTGTGTGTCAAGATATAGAGAACATTTCCAGTATCTGGGTCTATCACAGGCAAACGATGAATTCTATTTTGAATTAGAGTTTTAATGGCCTCATATAAAGATGCATCTGGGCCAATACTCACTAATGGATGAACTTGATCCTTCAAAACTTCTACAATATAAAATTCAAAAGATATTTAGATCACCGAATGTGAAATTCATAAGATAAGCATTAAAGAAAAGATATTTACTTCTCCATGTATCTAATTCATGTTCTTCTAATTCATCCATTGTAACAGATGGGCTGGTATAGTACATCTGTAGGATCTTTATAAAATCTGTTATAGTTAGCATACCAACAAATTCTTGCCTTGAGCTGTCCCATAATGGTGCAGCTCTCACACCTGCACATAAAATTATTGTAAGCAACTAAGTAGACAATCCTTCCAATAATAAATATGAGAATGTTAAAAAAGCTTTATATATGATAAAAAATTGGTGCTTTGAATAATGAAATTATGAAAACTTTGTGTAATTAATTTGAATTTTATAACGTACCATTGTAAACGAGAGCAAAGAAAGCCTTCTTTACGAGGAGGTGCGTATCGAACACAACCAATTTGGCGCTGGTTGGTATTAGGTCGTAACATTTGTGAAATTTGAAGAACTTTACGAAGATCTGTGATTCGTCCTCCTCTGAAAGCCCAAACAGTTCACAGTAGAGTAGTGCTTTTTGGTTACGGCGAAGCATGTTTTTTTATGCGATGTCACAATGTTCTTACAATTTACACGTTATGTTTCAAGTTTTAATATAACAAACAACTGATTTTTTAATTATTTTTAAACCTATGTAATAAGAAATTGGCACTTGACACTTTCAAATATTGAAGCACTTTAGTCTCAACACTTTTGACCTACTGATTTAGCTTAGCTGATGATAACCGGGTTTGCGACTTTTACGTTGCGATAGGTTATGACAACGCAATTCGGCGCTGAATCCCAAATTTTGGCGCTACATTCAAATATTATAATTAATACCAAAGATTGTTTTACATGAAAATAACAAAAATATAAAAATTTTTATTATCCAAAACAATTATCCCTTAATATATTCCTTAAAACAACTATGATTTCCTATAGCAATTTTCTAAAAACGCAATTATCAAAATCTCTAATGAACCACTCATATTTTATAGTACCGGAAACGTGACAGATTAACGGCCTTATTATAATTGAAAAAAAGATACTAAAGACTTAATCACATAATAGTGGGCCATTCATTCAAATTCTACTACAATCAAATCTGTCTTGCTCTAGTAGCTCGGCCTACAAGAGGAAATGGCAATAAAATAGGTCGCAAGTACTTAATCAAACGTTCTCACGAGGGGTGGCAATGTTATGCAACGTTGAAATAAGTCGTACTAAACGATCAATTACAACGGTGACGAAAATTACATTTACAATACACAGCGGCAAGTAAAACAGAAGAATTTTTCATTAAACAACTCTTTACACGTATACGTAATTTCCATATGAATTTAATGGGGAGAAAGTAAGTCGTAATAATAGCAACACGTGCCATAGAATTTCATAATTTAAAGTATGCAGGTTATGTTAGGTTATGGTCTGTGTAAGCTTCTCATAAAATTTCATTATAATGATTATTAAGAGTTCCAGAGATATATAATATCGTAATAAACGGAAACTGTGAAAGATGAAATAAAAAATGGTGAAAAATTCGAAATGCTTCTTACTCCAGAAATTAGAAATGTTTTTATAATTTAACAGAAGGTATGGAATAGAAATTTATTTGACACTTTCACGAAAATAAGACATCAAACGTACGTTAAATTTTCTATTTTACAGTAAAATTCAGATACGTGGAAAAAATATTTTCCCGTACACCGTGGGATAAATAATGGAGCGAAATAAGAAAAAACATTGCTTCTCAAATGTAGCACGCGAGAGTGAATCAATAAAAAAAAACTCGTGCTCAACAATACGTTTTAATTTTTGCAAAGGGAAACGAAACACTTTCTGTTTCTACTTGTGTTTCGTTCTTCTTCAAAGAGTAGTAGTGAAGCAACCAGCATTTTTCGAGCATGTACGAAATCGTGATGAATAACAGGAGAGAGAAAGAGAGCGAAAAACAAGGTGAAAGGGACGAAAAGTGAAAAACTCTCGTGGACGCAAATATGTCAGATAAAGAGAGAATAACGGCAGAAGCGCGCAGAAGAGAGGAAAAAGAACAGGGGAGACGGGGAAAACAATAATCGCGAAACTGGAAAGAATTCCAGTATCCATGCGTCAACAGGATGAAGTGCTGTTCAGTTTCAGCCTGTAATGGAATAAAATGAATCGGTGGGCGTCAAATAAATCTGCAAAATTCGAGTTGAATCTGAACACGAATTAAACTTCGTAATATTTTCCACGAATTCTTGCATTTCGATTTTCTTAAGAGTATAATTTTCATCCTGCTTCAGAGCCAATCGTAGATGCATAAATTTACCATAAATGAAATCTAATTTCGCTTGCGTGTTTAATATGTTCGTTGCTACGTGAACTGTTACATTTAACGATGGAAATTTTTGTTAGATACATATAACGATATTTTTTAATTGAATACTCGAAAAAAATTGAAGTTTTAAGAATTTGCTACAATTGCTACGCAAGACTTTTTAGCATTTTAAAACATTTTTGTGCCTTTTATTAATATTTGTTTTAATTTTAGATTTTTGTCAAATTGTTATATAAAATAACATAAAAGAAAGTGAATAGAGAATCGATTGTAATAATTCACCACTTAAGCTTTATCCTTTTATCGTTATCATCGTTAATTATTCGAGTAACAAGTAGAATCAGACGTTCAACGTAGGACACGATTCGCTCAAGAAGTCAAATAATTTCCAGGGAATTAAAAGCGACTAACTCCACGCAGACCTGTTGAGAATATCAGATGTACAGATAATCCTCGTGAAACGGTGCTCTGAGAGCATGATTTCGATACAAAACACGAACAGAGAATTATTCGGAAATCTCTTTTGTAAACATTTCGGAAAATAATTTTAGTTTCAATTTTCTTTCTTTTTTTTTTTCGAGACTCTTTTAATCCGTATCAGTGATTCACCACAGTGAACAAAGGTAAAGCTTTAATTGAAATGTCACCAATTGAATACAATCGCTATTTTTCCTAACTAAATATTACGGTGTAAATATTCATCTAGATTCGAGAAGTTCTGCTAAAACAATTATTTTTTTCCGAGAATGGAACGATTTGTTTCCCGTACATTTTATATTATTGCTACATTTTGAAATTTTGGTCATTTTTTCAATACTCAAAACTTGCAAGAAAATATAAAAAAAAATTGAATTAATTTTATAGTTCTAAATCAAGGAACAAGGTTTCACGTTTCTTCCTACTTTTCATACCTACTTATTCAACATGTCGAAATATCAGTCATTTTTGCAATACTCACACTTGTAAAAAAACAAGAAGGTGAAATTAATTCTCTTTACAGTTCTAAATCGAGAGACAAGGTTCCATTAGACACAATAAAAATTAATAACTGTTATACGTGGAAATGATGTAACTCATGGTTGATTCACTGACGAGCAAAAAAAAAAACCAGTATGTAGTCAACGTATTGGAATCTAATTACATGGAAAATGTCAGGCAAGAGTGTGCATGTGCGTATTCATTAAGCATTCGTGAACGACTAAGCAATAAGAAAGAATAAAATTTAACGATAATGAACGTCAAACGTAAAAGGTTAACATGTAGACGTGTTCAAATGACTCATATTCGGTAAAAAAAGAAATGTCCAATAAATTTTCACTAGTAACTATGACTCACTTTACGATCCAATTTTCACGCGACGATGACTGCTTTTTCTTAAATATCACACTAAACACACGTGTGTAGCCATAAAAGTCGGCAGATTGATGTGTTTCGAGTAAGAAATCTCCGGATTCCGATACAAATTGTGCAATACTGATCACAGAGCAACAAACAGAATTCATCTGGAATTTGTAGAGCAATGGAAAAGAATTGAGAAAATGCATCTAAATTCAGGAATCTCGAGGAACTACTGTAACGCAATGTACGTTTAAAGATCACGTGTGACCTGTTATTTCCTTTCTCACGTTTCAATTGTCTTCTCTTCTACCCAACATTTACAAACTTAAAAAGGTAAATTGTAAAAAAAAAAAAAAACATGAAAAATAAGGTTAAAACAAGAAAGATATCTTCTTTTCCACGTTTCAATTCTGCTCTTTTTCGTCTAACTCTTATAAACTTCAAAATGTAAATTAAAAAAAAAAAATGAAAAAATGTGAAAACAAAAAAGGTGATATTATCTCCTACATTTCAATTGTGTCCTTTTGTACCTAGCTCTTATAAGCTTAAAAATATAAAGAGTAAAAAATAATTTCACAACGAATTTAGTGCAAATTAATAAGACCTGGCTAAGAAACAAAAACGCAAATACGTTCGAATAATTTCTACCAATATCAGAGAAACACGTTCATGGAACGATTCGTTAAGACTACACGAATTGAAAATCCAGTCATGACCTAAATTACGACACGACCACCAATCGAACACTCAAGAACAAAGATTAGCAATTAAAAGGAAAAGAAGAAAAAAAATACTCGATCGTACCAACATCGATCAAAAGAACTGCCTACAACAATTACATAACGGACCAACTAACTAACAGGAAAAAAAAGAAGCAGTCCCCCTTTACGTAATTTTCACACGAGCAACAATCGTGAAAATCACACGAGACACTTTCCCTCCTCACACACGACGTGGTGCATCAACAATTTCGTAACACTTGATCGTCGAACAAGGACTCGAATCGGTGTAATTTTCCTTTGCACGCCAGATGATCTCGTTATATCTGGCAAACCGAGCAGCGAGAGAAACTCGGAATTCTCCGTTTTCCTGTACGAATGTCGTCCAATTACCGACTGGAAATGCAATATCCCGGTTTCCGTGTCGGGGAAAGAAGCTAACGCTACGGCGACACCGCTTGCAGTCACACGAGTTTATGGAAAAAGTTGCAACAGCACGTTACTGGGAATAATCGATCCAACGAAACTTGTTCCTCTTCGTGTAAAAATATTTGAAAAACAGCTGTCGTTGCCGACAGTAGCACTTAGTATTTCATCACTGTATTATCAAGAATCCTGTATCAAAGATCGCACATAGAGAATGATCACTTTCGCACAATTTTCGAATCACACAGAAACTTTCGGGAGTTCGATTGAAAATCATTTAACAGTTCGCAAAACGTTGAGTATACTTCGCGGAGAGCACGAGTTCACTGAATGTTTTGCGACGATCGTAGAGTGAATTCCAAGGATTTAATTCCCGAACGAGGACAGACGAGCCGCAAATGCACCGAACCGAAGACAATGAACCGCGATAGGATACCGAGTAATATAAATTGAAGACGTAAAAGTCAGCGGAACGTTTACGAGGCAGGCTTTCTCTGCAAAGATCATCAAGCTACTGACTGGTGAAGAGATTGTGCAGTAGTACTTAGGCGTTCGAGGAACGAACGCGTTGCAAATATACCGACAGAGACACCAGTGATGGTGAACGCGCGCGTTTGGTACCGTGCTTTCTGCCGTAGTGCCGAGGACTGTTTTCTCTGATAGAGGATCGTGCGGTTTTTAGTGTTACTCGATGC